AAACTGTTTTTTGTTACAAAAAAGAAAGATAAATCCAAAATTAAATATATTCAAAAACTAGTAGCTGTAGCGAAGAAAAATTCAGGCAAAGCTCACGTCGAGAAAAAATCGTTATGAATAGATATATCTTATCTTATGATAAGACGTGAGGGAATTTTAAGGTCGGGGATAACGAGTTTAAAATGAAGCACTCTGTAGCTTCCACACAGCAGACAAGGTTGGAAATCTCTGTTTCAGTTTGAAGGTACTTACATAACTCAGCGTATAAGAGCTGAAGTAGTTTAACTAAAAGGGAAGAATAATTCCGAAGTTATGGCAGATTTGGATCAAATTGCCGTAACTTCGGTACCATCCGTCCAACAAAAGTTGATTTCCCATGGCTATGCCTGTAATAAAGGAAGCTCTAAGTATAACCCCTGTAGAAAGTCCGCCTAGCCTGACTGTAATAAATCAACCCGGCAGGGCAGGCCAGATGAAACAGCTTGAGCGAATTAATTCAATGATTACGTCCATTTTAAGGTATCTATGTAGTATGTTATTTCAAACATGTTGTTGTTGTAATTGCTTCAAATGGCCGGGCCCTTGCAATTTAATGCATTCGTCTTATCACCTAGAACGTAGTAAAGGGTGTACAATAGGGAGCGAATGATTTTACAACTGCGGGAAAGGAGAAGTTGCATCCCAATTTTGATCGAGAACGTCTCGGAGGAGGTGCGAAGAATATACATCCCTCTGTCCCTATCACAAACTCTCGAGAAGACTTTCGGCCCACCGTGTATTTTTAGTTTCCTTTCAATATACGCTCAATATTCTCAATACATACAATATACGCTTACAAAAATTCAATACGTTACAACATGAAGCTAATTCCGAAGAACGTGCTTCAAGAGACAAAGGTACGTTGTGTTATTGAGGCATTCGGGCAGAAGGCACGGCTTCAAGAGATAATCACCCAGGATTCATGCTCAGATGTTGATAGTGAATCTATGTTTAGCTTTCAGGGGCATTGGCATGGGAATTTTCCGTATGCATCGTGAGTATGGACAATACTTTCTTCGGTACAGCTGGCCTCACCAGCGAATAAAACTAAGCTGGGAAATTGTGGATTAATCCTAATGGCGTTAAGTATCCAATGGGCAAACACTAACCCTCAGGGCTCGCCTTTGGCTAAGAGTTCTAGATTCTCTGCATGGGAAGAATGCATGTTTCCATTATGCAGAATTTTCCACACCACCGTGTGCGGAAACATCGCGTTCAGCAGCAATCGCCCGTGTACTTGTCGACGAGCAATCGGAGCACTATGTTATCTGGTACGCAGTCATTCATTTCCAGGTGTGTTACTGGGATGTGCACTTAATTTCTAGACACATCATTGGCTACTTGATGATTTGGACCAGTACGCTTCGCCCCCTTCGACCATCCTACTGAAATTCTGACACTCCTCTGCCATTTGGAACTATCACCGTCAAGCAGTATGCACGCCATATCATCTTATGCCATTAACTGCTTATTACAGTAGTTTTATTGCCATTACATTTTCCGATATTGTTGCCCGGAGTAACTTAATAACGAAGACTTATCTACGCCTCACACGAGAAATTTTTTCTCAGTTAAGAACTTTAGATACGTCATGCTATAAAAAGTCATGCGATTGCTATCTGTTACACGCAGGATGAACTCAGGAGCCTGAATCAAGTGACTTTTGTAGTTAAGTCTTCCAGGTGTGCTCATATTGCGTGGTCGCCTTGCACACCTTGCTGCTTTGAAGGATCCCGTCTCTCGTAGCTGTCTATGAGTCTTGTCAAAGATGCAATGGTAAGAACAATGCTCCCTCTAATATTGCTCGTGGTACTTACACAGCGCTAAATGTCACCTACTCGATTGTAAATCAAATGTATATCAGTGAATTGCTGATTCGTGTAAGTCTTCCATGTCCTTCTGGAGTGAAATAGGCATGTAATTGTTCCAAGTAACTACCACCGTAATGGCGCTACCATCTGTGGATTGCAGTCCATACTCCTTCGTATGCGTTTTCTTCTCAAGATATGCGTTTCGCGATGTTGCTTACGTCAGCCTGTTGAGCCAACATACGAACGAAATCAACGATCATTCGATTGCCGCCTTCCTTTTCCTCTCCCCGTCAAACCTTGCCTTAATTTCGTTATTTTTGCCAACTACATGTGTTTTGGGATAGCATATTCCCTGGTAATTATTGTTCCTCTTGATATCTACTGTTAGCACTTTGAGCCAGTCGCCGCATTAACAGAACACCTTGTACACATGGTATATATTTTAAAACTAGCAATTAAAATTTTTCAGTTTCAGTACGACCATCGCGTAACCGGAAAGTCGGAATGTTCCGGAAAGTCGAAAACTACATTGACTAACTGGACTGACAATGCCGCCTTCACAAACATTACACCGACTAGCATAAATACCTCACTTTAAAACTGGCTGAAGTTCTTAATCGTGGAAACGAAATTCGGATACCGAGATAATGAAAAGCGTATTATTAGCACTCATAAGAACCTCTTGTGACTAATGGCTAGACATGGATTAAATTATTGCAAAGAACTTGAGGGCTATCTGTATAACCGAAGAGGTGCCTTCGTAAAGGGCTTTTCAGTGTGAACTGGCTCATATTCTCGTTAAAAAAGATGAAAACCAAGAAATTTCCCTTGCAACTAGACTAGAGATGGACCCTAGAGATGGAGACTGAGGTTAACATTTAATACTTACAATTGTTTCATGTTTTTGACAGAAAGAGATATACTTTTTATATTTCTGTTTTAATGAACGCATTTTAAAGACTTTAAATAATGATAAATAATACATAAATAAAAAAGTAAATTAAATGATTCATTCTTTGAATAACGATGACTCTATTTTCTATCTCCATTCCATTTTTTAATCTCCACCAAACAATAGTCCCGCTATTATATAAAATATGCTATTATACTATTATTGATTTACTATCGAATACACTAGACTGGGATAGGATTATTTTTGTCTTAATACCCAATTCGCGATATCTCGTACTCTGAAGTTTCGTATTTCGTTTTATCTGTATTGGAGAAAGCAGATAATGGGCTCGTCTGGTACGCCATAACTTTTTCATCTGAAGTTTGAATTACGATCTTCAAATATATGTGTACAAGTATTTCGACCGTTATCTGAGACGCAAAGTAGGGTGTAACAGTAAATCAAAAATTTCTAACTCATATGTGAAAGAGCTAGGGAATACGCAAGTAAATACAGCATAGAAAGCCTCGCCAGTCGCATCATGTCTAAAGCAGCTAAACATTAACGTTCAATGAAGTTACGGAATGTTCAATGATGTGCATTTCAATCAATCATATCCTTGGAAAAAAAGTACATTGAAACATAACAAATAAATACTCACCAGCGACAGAGTGGTTAACAGAGCATAACAATAATCTTTCAAACACACAAGGATAGAAAATTTGCCCGTTGATTACTTTAATCAAAAAAAATAAAAAAATAAAAAGGATGTATGAACCGAAACATTTTTCAAGAATGGTTCGAAAAAATCTTTGTTCTTCAAGTGCGTAAACATCTTAAATCGAAAAACCTGCTTGAAAAAGCTACGCTATTGATCGAAAACGCATCTTCTCACCCAGCAAAAAAGCGTGCTAAAGTTTTCTGATGGACAAATTTTTGCAAAGTTTCTCCCTCCAAACGTTACTGCGCTAATCCAACCCATGAACCAAGGAGTCATTGCAACAATGAAGAGAACATACCCAACCAAGTTGCTAATGACCAAAATTGAAGAAGGTTATGATCTGAAGGAGTTTTGAAAACACTACACAATCTTGGCAGCATCTACGACATTGCATCTGCATGGGACTCAGTGAAACCGTCAACCCTCATAAAAATCACGGAGAAAACTCATGCCTAATGTTGAAGCCAACAACAAACTAACCCCCTTGAGTTGTGAAGAAGAGAATGAAGATGTAGACACACCCACGGCAACTTTTGCCGATATGGTGAAAACAGTTCCGGGTGGTGAGAATGTCGATGCTGAAAACATTAACGAGTTGTTGGAGTGTGAAGTCAACGAACCTGGCTTAGAACGCTTGACAGATGACGAAATTGTGAAAAAAGCAAGGGGAGAGACCGAGAATGAAGGACAGCGAAGTGAAGGCGAAGAAGAGTCTACTGTGCAGATGCGGAAGACTCGCGAAAGGGCTTTGCAACAAGTCGACGGACTGCTGAGCTATTTGGAAGAACAAGACGACGCGGAGTTGGCCGAGAAACTTATGCTACGAAAAATGCAATCTCGGATCAAGAGAAAGCAAGAAGCAAACACAAATGACTGATTTCTTCAAAAAGGTGTAGTTTTACAGTTATGCTTTTGTAATTAATTACATAATACATTACAGTATTAAAACAGTACATACGTATTAATTTTTCTGTGTATCCTTGACGCCTCTCGTAAGTATCAAAGCACTTTTCTGTTTTCATTAACAAAATGCATTTTAGGTTAGTTTTGAGCGATATACTAAAATATTAAGCGTTAGTTAAACATTTCCTGTTGTTTATTTTACGTTTTATTGTACATAAAACGAGTTTTCAAAGTTGTAATGACTGTTTTCTCTTTTGCTACACCCGTTTTTAGCTTTTTCGGATTATACGCGAGCTTTTTTCGGATTATCCGCGATTTTTGTTACCCGCGGCGGCCGCGCCACCCAATTCCGCGGATAATCGGGAGTGTACTGTAAACAGAAAAAGCGAAAAGCAAAAGCTTATAACTCTTCAAACTCACCTTTCTAAGGACGATTTCAAATCCAAATGCACATGAAGCGACACCAAGAGAGCAAAAAAGTCTAACACGGGTAAATGCCGCCCTAATTTAATGGAGAGACCTCTGGGAACGGATCTAACCGTCTACCGTATGAACCGCTTCAGTAATTAAAAAAAGCCTAAAATAATAATAAATTAAGAAGCGAAAAGGTAAGGACTTAACTCTTCAAACTCACCTGTCTAAAGAAGATTTCGTATCCAAATGCATGCCACTGATATATGTATTAGAATGACTAGAGGGGACATTCTCTACCATAGTAAGATTAACAGTTGTTTCCTTCTCATTATCTGAGAAAGTAGCCATCTAAGTGCTCAATTTCTTCCCTAAAAGAAGAAAACATTCACTTATAAAATAAATTTAGTCGTTATGATTTGAAACATCAATTCTAAGAATCAATATAAATAATATGGCAGTCAGTTACATAGAAAAGAAATTATCTGAAACTTTCAAACTAGAAAAGTGTACGAAGTTTCCCTATACAAATTAATGACAATATGTAAGACGATATAACTTGCTGAGCTTCAAAATCATTAGAATTTTTTAAGACATACGGAAAATTTTTCAGCGACAAAAGTAATTTTTTAAAAATAATAACGTGTATTAAAACCACCTGAAAACAAAGTGTAAGATTTAGTTTTAAGCCCACCAGCGGCGGAGAGGTAAAGTAGTTCAACACTGTGGTAGTTCTGTCCAAGGTTCGAATCCTGCGAAAGGGCTGGCTGCATGGGCGTTTTTGTATTTTTCCACATGTGTAACGTGTATACGAACCAGTTTTCTTTAGAAAGTCCTCCATGAAGGCATCCCTTCCCTTTGGCAGATAACCTCGAGCGCTTCGTCTTTATCAAATAAGCCAAACCAAAACCATTTAGTTTAAAATGCAATTAGCACAAAACTACTGATTATTTTAATTATGTGAAATGTTTTATAGAAAAATTATAGTTTAATCCATTTTCGTACAATTGTTTACAGCAGTAACAGAGCGATTTTTCGGTAATTTGTGTCCTCGTACGCCTTCACGCCATTCGCCGTGATTCTCGCAAGAGTTGGATAAATTTTATAAGTTTATTACTTAAATTAATCAGTTATTTACAATTTCAGCCTTTACTATAAGTTTTTCTTTCCGTTTCCTCGCAAGAATCCAAATTAGTTAGATGGAATTTAAACTAAGGTTTTTGTATTCTAAGACAGTGTACTTGTGGCCTGCGCGGGCACACTACGTTAGCTCCTTGTTAGGTCCGATAAATTTGAAATTATTCGGCTTTGCGTTATCGCTGCCGACATTTGAATTTGATACGCCGGTTAGAATTTCTGAGCCAGCTTAGATCAAAATTTAAGTGTGTAGTCTTTCACTACTAATCTACACTTTTAATTTGACACTGACTGTTCCTTTAGTTACATCACCGGGACACGTGGCTGATTTTGCTAGCACAAGAACGCACATTTATCCTCAAAGTTCTGTTTAAATAAAAAGGTTTATTTAAACCCTGACAAATCTGTTGTTACTTTCGGGCAGAGCGATAATTCGCTTCACGTCTCTTGGGAGTTTTCGAACTGCTCAAATTTTATCAGATCAAAGAAAACTCCACAAGCGGGTAAGGTAAAATGAGGAGCCACGAACGTATGAATGACGGAATAAGATGGAGAGCTGTCGCTAGATTGGAGGCAAGCTAATCACAGCAGCAGATGGCTACAGAGCTCAATATAACGCGCAGTGTCGTCTGCAATTTATAGGAACAGTTTCAGAACACTGGATCCCTACCGGGAACATCTGGAAAAGGTCGACCAAGATTCACAATGACGTAAAAGAATCGTTATTTCGCACTTTCAGAGCGTCAATGCAGGAGAGCTACAGATTCACAGCTCTCACGTGAACTGTGTCCTCCTAATGGAACCCGAGTTTTACGGTCTATAGTCGCCTGATGGCTTCATAATATGGGTCTCTATGCCAGAAGACCCGCGTTTGAGTCCCGCTCACTGCATCTCCAAGAGTGCGCGTTTAGCATGGTGCAAACAACATGCGCTTTGACCGGACTTCAGTGGAGATGAGCCTTTTTTCCAGATGAGTCAAGATTCAGCCTGGACACTGCTTCTCAGCGTGCCTGTACCTTGAGAGAGCTTTAGAACACGATACTATACCTTCCCCATCAGGGAAAAGAATCGTTACAGTGGTGTAATAGCTGCATCTGTTTCACAAAGGCTCTCTTGACTTAAGACACTATAACACACCGAATAAATACTAATTCAGAAGTCAAACAACAAAAATCAGCGTCAATCCACAAAATTTTCACAGGACTAGTTTCGATGGTTTTACCGAACCACCATCTTCAGCTGCAAAACCGCAAATGAATCAATTGCGGTATTCATTTGCGGTTTTGCAGCTGAAGATGGTGGTTCGGTAAAACCATCGAAACTAGTCCTGTGAAAATTTTGTGGATTGACGCTGATTTTTGTTGTTTGACTTCTGAATTAGCTCTCTTGACTGCTATGAGGTATAGAGTGGAGATCTTAGAGCTCTATATTCGACTCTTCAGAAGCGCACTTGGTTCTGGGTTCTTGCTAATGGACGACAACTCTCGTCAACATAGGACTCAGCTGGTCGATAATTACCTGGAAAGTGAAGGTATTCGCCGCATGGATTGGCCAGCTAGATCTCCTGACCTTACCCTATACAGCAAGTCTGGGATGTTCTTGTGAATTATATTTCATCTCCCTATTCTCCTGTGAGAACAAGCCCGGAGTTGGAAACTGCTTTGCTGCAGCAGTGGACTCGATTGTCACAGAGGCTCGCTCCTCAGTAACCTACTGTCCTAGGATGCCGTCACGCAGTGCGACTGTCTGTCTGTGATTGGGGACCATGCCTCATATTAGACTTATTTACAGTTCGATTTACATCGACTCACTTACAGTTCGATTCTGTAAATGAGTCGATGTAATTACAACGTGGATAATGTATATTAATACCAAAGTTCATTAAAATCTGTTCATTAGTTTTTCAGAAATTCGACATAACGCGAAAATTCTCTTAATTTTGCACGCAAATGTGTAAAAGCCAATGAAGTAAACAAAAGGCTAAGCATTTATTAGTATTGTGATGCCCAGATGAATGAAATCTGCAGAATGATTTAAAATATAAAACTAGATAAAGCACAAATTTGGCACTCATTAAAATATTAAAATAGTATATAGTATTAAAACACAGCACCGAAATTAAAATACAGCAGTATTTTAAGTAAAGAACTTCTGACAAAGACGCTTAAAATACGGATACCCTATTAAAATGTGGACGAACCGAGAAATGGGCAATACAGTTCGAACATAAGTTAACTCTCGGTTTTTAGAAGATAACAATGAGTAACATGAGATTGTGTGATTCTTAAGATGAGTTAAAATACCTTCCTCCCCCCGGTTTCTAGTACTTTCCGAAAGTTCTTTTCTAGTTTTCACGCTTCTCAACTCATCTCAACAGGAGACATGAAAAATGTGCAATGCCCTCGCCAGCACTCGAACCTGGACCTCTCGATACGTGCCAAAAAGGCATGCTGGAAAAACCACAAAGGCATGCTGGAAGGAGGCAACTACAAAGGCATGCTGGATGGCTGGTTACACCACAAAGGCATGCTGGAAGGAGGGAGAAAATACCTTATAAGCTTTTCTTCGAAGACCTGAACCTCTCTTTCATTTTAGAACTTGATTGTATTAGATTCTACATTCGGATTTAAGACTGCGCATGCGTTGAAATAATTGTAGGTTTCCACCAGATTCTGCCGAAGTCAGGTTATCTTCTTAGAATTTCGATAATAATGCTGAATCCGATTTTACAGCCAGTTTTATGCTCAAAATGAATTGCATAAAAATAATAGACAGCCTTATTATAAGGCACGACAACGAATAAATAGTCAGTTTCTTGAAATCCCACCCCATAAGTATTACTCATTATCAAGAATCAGTAAATTGCTCGATTATTATAAAACAATCATTGTAGACAACATTTTTGGCGCAGTTAGCAGACAGCAAAATTTTAAGGAAACGTAGCAGTTTTTTAACAAAATATTTTTATGCGCAAAGCAGTTCGAGACGCAAACAGAAAAACGGAGAACTATCATTATGTACTCCTATACGTACCATTCGAAAATATTTTGAGAAGTTCTATATATATAGACAAGAATGTGTATAGTACATATATGTGATGTACCAGCTTTTGTCCGGAATAAATAGACTGGTGAAGAATCATAGATGTAGTTGCAGCTCAAAAGTATCAGACGATAAGTTTAAAAAACTGGATCCATTTATTATTGTTCAGGAGAAATAACAATTACAAAAATCTGATCTCCGGAGTAAATAAAAAAGAATTACTAATAACTTTTTGTATGAAGTTTACTGCATCGTTACATTAAAGAAAAAGCCCCGATATTCCTTTGCGAGTCCTTTTATAGCCTCTGGAAAGGAGGAGTTTCCAAGAAATGACGTCAGCCTCGTCAGCCATTCCAGTTTGCTTTAAATATCTCTAGAACATTTTAAAACTGTACATGTAGAAAAGGCGGGAAAAACAACTTGACTACGGGGCTGGGAGTTTAATTCCACGTACTTTCAAATAAGAGACCTTCACCATTAAAAATGAAAAGAACATACAGTTAGAAAAGTTAAGTGTATGACTATGGAATTTTATTATTACATATATATATATATATAACATTCTACACATGGTCATAATAAGGTGCTGATATCGCTTCTGAGATATACTAGCCCTTACTCTGATTTAGTTCATATCAGATGGTGGGCAACTTTGAAGAAATCCTCCCACTTCATCCCATAAATGGACTGAGCTCGAAGGATTCAGTTAGCCATAGAAGCAATTTGAACACCGAATCTTGCTCTTCAAAGCGATCTGAGATCAATCGTGTACAGATGATAAAGTGTATCGTCCTACTGGAAAACGACTACATGCGACACGAACCATTGCAGCCAAAAACGAAAGTATGTAAATGACAACAAGACTAAAATAAAAAAAATCCAGATAAGATATTATTATAGATCTTTCCTAAAATCACATCATCTATCAAACGTTTTCAAACCATAAAAATCACGAAAATATTGCACTTTTATTTGCTAAACTCTTCTTCTGGCACTTTTAGCATAATCACAGAGTGATTAACTGCGCACGAGATATCTCGGAAATGTATGCCGTTTCGATTTTCCTATCAACGACTTAACTCGGGCGCTGAAAATTTTACGGATATTTAATGCCATCGCCCGTAATATCGCCTGGCAATCGACATTCTGGCATGCACGTTTTCTTAGCTGTGGGAGGGGTCCAAGCGGTCCT